GTGTGTGTGTGTGTGTGTGTGTGTGTGTGTTTACAGTAATTATGTCATTAAACACAGGAGTAATGTTAGAAATGCCTGACATCTACACTCCTGCTTCACTTTATTCATCTGCAGTAATACCGTATTTTCTGGACTAAAAGTCACTTTTTTATATGGTTTGGCCGATCCTAAAACTTATAAACAGGGGTGACTTATGTTTTCCTCTTCATGACACATTTTTGACTGATGTGTTAAATGTCGTGTTCTGACATTTTTACTACATCCTGTCACTTCACATTAGTTGTACATAATTGCCACCTAATTATCACTATGCTGATGCTTTTTTTCTTTTACATTTTTTATGTTCTTTTGTTTTTGTACAATTTTTTTAAGAATGAAAAACTAATGTCTCTTTTAGACCATATTCTAYCTCGTATTGTGTTACTGAAGCATCTGGCAATGCTTTGGTCTGAATTCCTCCTTATTGTAACTCCACAAGCCCCCCTTTCACCACGTTTCGGAGGTGGGTCTCAGATCAACTCGTTTTGAGGCCGTCTCTTTAAATCCAAACTTGTCGCTTCACACGCTGCCCCAGCTTCACCATCACTTCTTTATACCAGAAGAAAGTGAGTGAYGTCTGTTTCTACCTCCCATCTAGGAGCATCTCTGATTCACATTCCATGAATTTCCCCATTTTCCTGCATTTAAACATAATTTTAGATTGGACATTTTGGGCAGATTTGCATGTAATTATAGAGGAGCACTTGGGGGAGGGGTCAGATGTGCGCTCAGTTCCATGTAAATCCGGATGAAGGAAGGAAAGGCGTGCAGAAACATGTGTGTACACAGTTGGATGAATCTGAATATTTTTGGTAAAATGCACTTYTTGGAGTTTGTCTGTAAACCAACTTTCAGTAAAAAAGTTGCACACTGTTTCATACATGAGGCTCCAGGCATTTGGCTGCTCCCACATATGCAAAAAATAATAATCTGTTGTAAAAAAAGGCAGAGGCCACAAGGGATCACTGTTGCACTGGTCCCTGTTAAGGCTGGGCAGGCACAGGCACAGTTCAGGGTGAGGCCCAGAGTCTGAGAACTCTCTGTGGTGCAGCAGTTCCACCTTCAGTCATCACTGCTGTGGCCTGCAGGGCCCCGGGTCAGTGGTRGGATGGCAGACTGAAGGGTCACAGCGTGACTTTACTGAGTCTGATCGAGAGGCTGGAGCGGTACTGAGTCCGAGGGAGAGTGGTACTGCACCGGCTCCGCAGCTGTACGGGCCGACACGCCGAGCCTCGCGCTCGCAGCAGGAAGTCAAAGTTAGCCGAGGTGTTCATGGCGTAAAAGACGTTGGCRTTATCGGGAATCACCAGCTCTGAAAGACACAAAACAAAAAATGGTTCTTACCGGTGTTKTACCGTGTAAAATCTCACCGTGTAAAAGTGGGAATTTCCCACTTACAAGTAGTTAATTTAAACAGGAACGCACCCCTGCAGTGGGAATTTCTTTCGGAAAGTGGGAGAGTTCAGGATTCAAGRCAGCAGCTCCTCACCCCCACTCAGTGAGTAAAACTCTTACTTTTAATAGTATTTCTGTATTTCACATTTAGTCAGTCAYACACRTAGTKCTTTTCAGTGTTTATGATAAAGTGTCTTAAAACGCTGTTTCTATGTAGGAAATACCACATAGAGCTCAGTTATTGTCTGTTAACGGTGTTCAGACGTAGCAATGAGACGAGGAATGTGACGTTCCGTGTTTAATCAAAGTTAAACGGGAAACGTTGAAGTTTTTTTACAACTGGCCCTTTGTTTGAGACTCGATTTAAAAACAGAACCAAGTTTCACCTTTTTCCTCAGAGATGACTTGCACCAGCTCGTATCCCTCCTCTGGCTCCACCTCCAGGTTGTGCTTCGCCATCGCTCTGGAAATCACAGCTGGAGTCTTGTCTTGACTGGTCAGCTGTTTAAGAAAACAGACATCTCAGGAAAAAAAAATTCTCCCAGTAATGAACGAACAGCTGTGTGTTTACACACCAGAATGCTCTTGTACAGGTTGCCGTTGCCGTTCTCCAGGCTGACTCTTATAATGCACGCGTCCTGGGCTTGCGTGTTGTAGATGGGGCTTTGATTCTGGGAGCAGGGGGACAGGGGCATGAGGGAGACACAGCGTCTGTGACTGCAGAGGGGAGCAGAGAGGGAAGGGAACGCAGGAGGGGTGGAGACGCTGGCTGTGGATGAGTTGGTGTCGATGGAGTGGAGCGAGGTGCAGGAGGATGACTCTGACAACTGATGGAAAGCACAAAAATATACAAAACATTATTTAAATTCATAAATTTACTATTATTTTTAAACTGCTTTGTTTCTAAAAAAAGATTGCGCCTTTTTGAGATGTTTCCTTTTTATCCAGTGATGTTACTGACCTGTTTGCAGTTAACATATCACATAAATCTGCCATATTGCCATTTGGGGTTAAATATATGGAGGTAAATTGGGGCCATAAAGTTTGTTCACAATTTTTTAAACTAAAAAACAAATTTTAAACTAAAAAAGTTCAAAACTACAGTGCTGATCAGATTGTAGGTAATTTTTGAGTTTCAGGTTTTTTTATTTTTTTATTTTTTTTTCAGTTTCAAACTTTATTTCAAGTTTTGGTGTGGGGGCGGGGCTTCAGATGAGAGAGGGTGTGGAATCATGAATGACAGCAAATGTTTTTAAAAATCATCAGTATTCTGTTTTTGTGTGCATAAACATTGATTATTGATGAAGGTTCAAATCCATTTCCAGTATTGTGCTGTCAGTCATGATTCCACACCTGAAGTCCAGAAGTTTGAAAGGAAAAAAAAAAGAAAAAGAAAATTTGAATCTGGAAAGTATTTTTGGAGTTGTTTTTTTTTCCAGTTTTAAATGTAATTTTTTTTTTCAGTTTCAAAAAAAATTTGAACTAATTTTATGACCCAACTTTAGCTCCATATATTTAAAAGATGCCTGAATTTGAATCTGAATTATTTTCTATTTTTGTTTCACCAGTCATTTATTGAAACATATTGCAGGCATGAATTATTCTTATTCTTATTCTTATTATTCTTATTCTTCTTCTTATTATTACTATTATTATTATTTATTTATTTATTTATTTATTTATTTATTTATTTATTTATTTATTTATTGCCAAACATAGGAGTTTCTAATTTTGATTTTCAAATGAACAGAAGCTTTAAAATAATTAYAAATCCTTTAATTTGGCTTTYAATTKACAGTTTATAAAGTCTGCCAGCTGGTTTATGTGGCTCATTTTGGCTCTATATTTGAATGTTGACACAATGTAAAGTTAATGTAAGAGCTAAAATTAAAACTGTTGCTTTAACAGAGATAAGATTACATACATTTYAGTAAAACTGGTGATGGTTTAAATAGAGTTTTAATACATTTTTASATTGTGTTTGTAAATGTCCTTGAACTTTACCTTGTTTTGATGGGAGAGGTGTGAGTCGGGGGTGTGTGTTGGTGTCGTGTGTCCCTCGCCGTCCGACGGACTGCTGGAGTCGCTGGACGACACGCTGACAGAGTCCATGCTCTCCCCCGAGCTGCCAGTAGGGGGCGAACGTGGCGTCTCTCTGACGGGAGAACTGGCCGAGTTACTGTCTGGTCCAAGAAACAGCCTGGGGAGTGGAACAGGAGGACAGGTTAATAAAACAGAGATTCTAGATGTGCAGAGCATGAGACGGGTGAGTTCAACGTAATGTGAAAACATTAAGTCCTTTAAGGAACGCTTATTGCCGGATGCCTTTTGTKTCAGAATTTAGTCTAAGACCATTTCATGATTGTAATCATGAGAAGTCACGTTCAGAGGGTGGGTTGTGGATGACTGTTTGCTGCGGGGAAAGACAGAACGTGGGGCGGAGATAATAGTATCTGCAGCACAGAGGAGCAGAGAAAGGAGGTCGGGTAGAGGTGGGGAACTTATTTCTAGCAGCAGAGCGGGTTGGGAGATGGTTATTTAATTTTATTTATTGTTTGTTTTTTACGTCCTACAGACTCTATAACTCAATAATGTTTGTAATTATTGTAAAAATCCATGAAATTGCCSTATATGTTTGTATACCAGCAAAACGAGGAGAAATCCATGTAATTTAAGGACAATCTGTACAACTTGACATGTGTAAGTGTACTCACAGGCTGAGTCTCTTCACCATGCTTTTTCGGGTTTTGGGTAAAGTCGGGCTGCTGTCGCCAAGACCTTCAACCTCACACGACAAGGCGTAGCTGTAAGACATTGTAAAACACATCAGAAAAATAATATTACCTCATTGTTTCTGAGAACTAAATTCTCGGTGAAGTGGAAGAACAGAGAAAGTCTGGGAGCGGAAATGAACGGAGCTCACACAACGAAAACAACAATGGATCAGCGGGGAGTAAAGACACAGCAAGCAATGAACAGTGGATCCAACACAGCACGACCCATGCACTTAAAATGCTCGTYATCTAACAGAGTGCAGTTAAAAACGAAGATGCTGCGAGTTGAAAGAAGAGCCGTACCTCTCCTCCTCACTGAGCTGAGGCTGGCTCTTGAACCAGCGCAGGAAAGCCGGGTCGGGAGTCAGGCAGTAGCTGTTGCAGGCCGACTGGAGCAGCTTAATCTGAGCTATGACCTCAAACTCCTGCGGAGATGGAGAAGAAGTGGCATCAAACATTTTGAACATGCGTGTGCGCACTAATGACTGTGTCCACATCCAGGGGCTGTGTCCTGCGAAGGCAGAATTTGACGGCTGCTTGCRTCACCGCGCCGCACTGGAGGCTGTCCAAATTTGAAGCCTTCTACAATGCAGCCCACAAATACGTTTTTATTTTTATTTTTATTTTTTACCAGATTTGAGGATTTGATGGCKCCTTCTAGGCCCACCCTATCCCAAAATGCATTGCGGGCCAACCGGAGCRATAGAAATTAATAGTTTTAAATAAAAGTCTTGCGGTATGAAAACTGAAAGTTTAAAGCGGTTGTGATATTAAATGTTTTTGTCATTTGCATAGRCATGTTGTTTAATATTATTATTGTCAGAAATCAAACAAGCTGGTATAGMGAAATAAACGTGAACATTCAACGGGTCTGTTAGTTCTTCAAATTTTGCCTTTAAGCTAATTTTTGTATTTTACAATTTACTGATATTTTGCTACTTTAAATCTATTTTTGCTTCTGTTTAGTGTCTTCATGTTTGCTAAGCGACAGGACATACACCGGGGTTAGAGCAGGAGTAAAGCTGAAGGATAAACCATCCAAATCCACAGCCACTTGTTTCCAAACTTCGTGGTCGAMCAAGGACCCGGCCCACYTAGACCAGGTAGGTCGGGTCCTTCAAAGGACGCAACCCCCGAAYTTGGACACAGGAAACATCATGGTACGGTCAAGGAGGAAACACTCACCCTTCGTCTCTTCTCAAAGTTGATCAAACCACCCTGCAGAAAGCAATAAAAGCCAGAAGATCACACATCAGAGAATTAAAGACTACTCCCCCCAAAACAACTGGACCGACAGACACATCATAAACATTTCTTTAGTTTACCTCTACTAAGTCTGGCAGGGCTGTGTCCAACATGGTCAGATCGGTTAGAAAAGTCCCCAAGTAAGGTATGGTTCCCTGCATCGCTCCCTGTGGAGAAGTGGTTGTGTTATTGCTGTTTGAATTGTTCAGATGCTACATGTGATGGGTAGGACCAGACCACAAACTGCAGCGTTCATAAAAACTCATTAAAGTTTATACACCTCTGAAAAACTGTCAGAACAAGATTTTACGAGTCCTGAGAACAGGTGTGAGCTGCCCTGATGTATTTTATAATCTATCAATTAAAATAAACAGAGACTTGAGGTTTTATATTCAGGTACTTTTGGGCTCTTTTAAGAAGAATGTAATCGACGTACATGTTGAAAAGTGGCAATGTGCTTTAATGGTTACAAACATTTTCTGGTTTATTCAGCACATTTCCCCCCCCACCTAACAAACCCTAAAAACGCTGACAGTGCACRTACAGCAGGTTTGTTCTGCATGAGAGGCTGGCTGCATCAAACACAGAACAAGTACATCAACAGTTAACACATCTACAGCTGATCCCTGCTCCAACAACAAAACAGTTCACGCTTATTCACTGCTAGCTTTATTGACGCTGATGTTGTTAGTTTTAAGCAAGCTCGTTTAGCCGATGGCAGTCACAGCTGCAGAATCTCATTATTTTCTTACATCAACATAATAATTCTGGTGTTTAACGTCTGCTTTACAGGGCAGAGGAAGCAGCAAGTGTTTATAGGTTAGAAAAATAAACAGGACGTTTATAGATGTTCAGGCTGAAATTAGACTACATCTGGACTAAAAATGAAAGTTTTGTAAAGTTCTTAAACTTGTTTTGAGGCAGTCTCTTTAAATACAAACCACGTTCCGCCCTCCTCCAGCTACCTGAGCGGTCCATTGTACTGTGATAGAGGGGTTTACGACTATATAGCAGCACAGGATTTTTATTTATTTATTTTTTGTTTTACAAATAAGCTAAAAGATGTCAACAAGGGAAGACTTGTCCATCCAGCCTTAAGCTGCGTTCGCACCGAACGCAATTTCAGCTTCAAAATTGCATCCAACACTTSAAGTTGGAAGCTTGTGAACTTTGAGGTCAGACGCAGGTCAGCTCTTGAAGCGCTGCACGTCAACAGCCTCCCCGCCCCCCCCTCCTCTGTCGGGCTCTGTTTAATGTCGGACGAGGAAGTGGCTTTGCTTTATTTACAGAGAGCAAGAGCATGTCACGTTCATCAGATAATTAATTCATAATTAATTCACCAGATAATTCAGAGACATTCTGAGTTTCATCACCCAGGAGCTGCGGGAGAGGCTCACAGCTCGCTTTCAGGACTATTTTTGTCCCGAGTCCAGTCTGATGAGTCGCTGCCACGCATTGGTGAGGATATCTCTGTCAGGACACCGACTGCAGGCACTCGATTTCAGCTAAAGAGCTCCTCTCCATCTGTTTCAGGTTAGTGGACATCATTCAGTAAACTGTCCYGTCGGGAAATATGTCWCTACGTCACACAGTGGAGTCTCTCTGATTGGTTGACGCGGCGCSTCGAGCTGCAAAAGTTCAGATTTTCTAACTTCAGCGATTTGCGCCTCAAGCACGTCGAACGCTCAGATCGTTCAAATTGTTCAAATTGCGCTGCTCTAATCGCGCTTGAGGCGCCGCAGCACTTCCTGACGCTGCTTGAAGCGCGTCCAYCATAGACTTTGTATGTAAACCTGATGCTCCTGATGCTGAAATCGCGTTTGGTGTGAACGCACCATTACATGTTGGAGTCAGAGTCTGACCCAGAGCCAGAGGAGAATGAAGACCACCAAATAGTAGCTGGTAAGTCCAGACCTTATTTAGAAGTTCCAACGTAAAATATTGTGATGTAATAGTTCCAAAAACATTATAGAAAATAGAGAAAACTGAACAGGTTGAAAATATCACCCAAACAGGATAATAATAATAATAAAATAATTAAAACATCTACGCAGCACTCTTAGAGGCTTCAAGTGCACAAGAAAATGTAACTAAAAACACTTTTTTGGTAATAACTAATAAAGTGGATTTTTCACATGTCACCCTTAATGTTGGACTGAAATGGAATGAGCTTGAGGGCCAAATGTGTTCCAGGAGCCACAAGTTGATGTTCACTGCTCTAAAACCTCCCAGTTCACACATTTACTTTGTTATAGTACTTAAGTTTTTTTTTTTTGAGGATTTGCAATTTTACCAAATATTTTTTAAAATTGTAAACTTTATTTTTATTTCATTACATTTTAATTGGACACCTAGTTACACGTTACAAATTTAAGCTTATGAAAGGAGTTGTTTATGCACTAAAAAAATGAAGTGTTGAACTTACTTAACCAAGTTATGTAAACCGGTTCCAATAAACTGCTTCATATTTACTCTACTAGCCACAGTGGAATTAGTTTGGTAAAGTAAATTCAACACTTCATTTTTTTAGAGTGTATGTAAAAGGATGCTAACCAGACATGCTAAAGCTCCATGTTGCAGCTTTGATCGTCTCACCATTTCCTTCTGCAGCTGCAGCCTCTTGTGCGTGCGCTTCTGGTGCTCCTTGGCGCAGCTCTCCAGGCTGGCAAACTTTGAAGTACCTTCCTGGAAGGCAAAACAAAACTAGCTTTTGTCCTCAACACCCAACTGTGCGAATAAAGAAATGCTCTCAGGACGACATGTATTTATTCTGAGGGGCAGTAACGATGGTGTAAGAACTTACCCTCATGAGCAGCTCCCTGCTGGTCAGGTAGTTGTTGTGGTCCGAGAAAATGTCGGAGAGCTCCTCGAACGTCTGCGTACTGTCTCTGCAGCAAAACACATTCAGTTAAGAAGAGGAGGCTATGGAGTAACGAGCGCTGCCAAAAGGCTGATTCTTCTATCAAAACCCACGAGATTATCTGCATATTTCAGAGATTGGAGGCTTTACTTGTGCACGCAGGCCCACACTCTCTTCAGTCTGTACAGGGGATTGGACTGCAGCGCCGACACGATGGCTCGTAGAGACGAGAAGTTCTTGCGTATTCGACACTCCTGTTGGCAGAAAACGTCAAAGTCAGCCACAGCCTGACTCGTGGCGGCGGATTGGATCCGTCCACTTGTTCTGGGTGCGTTCCCGACCTGAGCGATGTCGATCCAGCGCTGGATGACCCGCGCCCTGACGTGAGGCCGGAGCTGCCTGTGCTTCAGCACCGTGCTGACCACGCAGGCGGCCACGGCGTTGAACTGGGTGATGGTGGCGCGGATGGTGGGAGCGGTGTGCTTGCTGTCCTTCTTGTCCCGCTGAGACCAAATGGAGCCCAGGCAGTGGTGGGGGACGACCTTTTTAAACAGCAGCTTGGGAAAAAAATACATTGTAAAAATGTTAAAGAAAACATTAAAGGGCCTGTGACATGCTTATACTGTACTTCAAATACAAAAAGTCAAAGAAAACATATTTATATCTAAGAAAATTAGCATAATACACAAGGTTTTAACCATTTTGTCTCATAATTGGCATATTTTTTCTTGAATGGCTCAGCAAAGTGAAACAGGAAGTGAAATCAAAGGGGAGCTCTTTAAGAAAAGAAACTCTCTAGTCTTTGTTTATTGAAACAATCTCATTTAAACTGTTCTTCATCTCTGATAGTGACTCAAAATAATCTAAAGAAACATCAGATTCTGCTGTAATTATTGTAGCATCACTGTTTACATGCAGACGTTCCCCTTTGACATCACTTCCTGTTTCTTCACATGTAAATATCTCAACAACTGTCCATCTCAACGGCGTGAAATTTGTTTTGCAACATGTTATCAATGTTCTCTTTCCAAAAACACATTCACATTTATTACAAAAATTTGATGTCACAGGCACTTTAAAATAGTACGACTTTACTTTTATTTCTCCTCCCTTTTTTTTTTACTTACTGCATCCATGTAGGTGAGCTGCTCGGCCACCAGGTCGGCGTCAAACGACAGGAAGTCATCCTGCACTTCAATCTCCACCTCTTCTTCCTCCCCGAGACAGAAGGAACTGTTGCCATTGAAACAGACTGAAAGCAAAGCAATTCAAATGCATTAGGTGACTTTCAAGCAACACAATCCAACTATGTGCAAAGAGCGGGTTTAAAAAGTATACCATCGCTCTCATCCATGCAGGCCTGACCCTGCAGCTGCTCCAGCAGACTCTCTGCCCGTCTAAGAGCCTCGGAGMCAGGCAGGGCTTTGCGCAGGTAGTCCATCAGCCTGTGGAGGCAGGGGTAGTYCGGAGGCTCCTGGAAGTCCTCGGGGCACTGGTCCAGCCAGGCACGCAGGGTTGACGCCAAGGCACTGGAGGGGACAGCAGGGAAACKTTTAATACTGACGGAGGGCTCAGTCAGTAACGCTGCTGGAAGCAACAGGCTTTAAAAACTCCATCTCACTTTCTGATGGCTTCACGGCTTTCACAGCCGTCCTGCTCGCTGTCCCCCACGCTTCCATACCTAGCACAAAAATTCGTCAGAGATACAGTTAAAAGTCACACAGCCGTGCGTCGTTCTGTGGACTACAGGTGCAACAACACCTTGTTTCCAGCCTACCTGTCTAGCAGAAGCTGCAGAACAGTCTGAGTGCTGGCGAAGGCTCTGTAGGTGGAGAGGAAGATGGAGGTGTAGGTGAGATCGTTGTCTCCAAACGCCGTCAACAACGTTTCCACCAGGCGCTCCAGAGTTCCAGCACGAATGCTTCGGATTTTACAGGTTTCCAGCTGACTCACCGTGTGGCCAGGAGGTAGGCGGTCACCCTCCGCCTGAACAGAAACAAACACATTTTTGTGTTTTCACAGATTTTGCTTGAAGTAAAATCAGCTTTTAGAAGTGAAGGTCTTTTGATCTTCAGATCTTTTGAGTAGGGTTCTGTGGAAAGGATATGGACAATCAATGTCTTACCTGTTGAAGGCAGCTCTTAGAACTGGCCTCAGTTTGGAGTTTAAGTCAGATTTAAGAGCTACAGTAATGGCTATTTTGAACAGGACCAAGAACAAAGTGAACTGCTACTAAATTACCATAACTCAAAGGAAAAATTATTTTTAAAATAAATTATGCTATTTTATTGACTTTCATATTGCTGTCATTTTAACATTCTACCAGTGGTGGGAACAGTTCTGTGCAACTACTTTTTCATTCAGCGCATTAGCATTTTTTGCTAACTTTGGAAACCATTAGCAGACCTATTAGCTTTCGTTAAATTAGGTTCTACTAATTTTATGTCCGCAAAAAATTCACAAGTCTAAATTCTTTTATGCTATTTATCCCAAAATAAATAAAAATATATCCCGTCTTACAATCAGTGTTGGATGTGTCAGGCACCATGTGTGTAGCATGTAGCATCTTTAGCAGCTAAACGTCAAACTAAGAGCATCAAAAAGTAATAAAATAAAATTTACCAATCTTTAAATAACAAATGCAAAAAATGACTACAAATAAAATATGGTACAAAGTATTTGTAATGTGTCTAACTTAGAAAGCTAGCATCATGTTTGTGTCAGTCCCATCAGTCTTAAAGGAGATGAAGAGGTGTGACTCAGGCAGAGTGACAGTCATCTTATTGGTTAACATTAGCTTCCACTCATTTTTTTATGTTTACGTGTTTAATGTTAGCTGAGCAACAATTTTTTTTAGCAAATTAGTGGTTAGTGAGCATAACCTTGTGGTTTGCTGAGTATGACGCAATATTACTATGGTTAGAATTAAACAGAAAAGCTATCTACAACAGGTAAGATATTACATGTTCAGAATTTTTAATCAACAGAACCCCACATTAGAAGATATGAACTACCCCTTTCAAGTTTTAAATGGATGACATGTAGATCTAACTCTGTTTCATTTGAGGAGCACCTAATCTACACAGAAAAGACTATCTGTTCACAGAATTTCAAGGCAAACCTGTGTTATATATAACACAGTATGTATTGTATAACATGTTGCACAAAGCTATACATGAGTAGTTTACAAAAGTCATAAACAGAGACTTTTTACCAGAACCACAACCTCACAGGAGGAGTCTTGTGTTGTTGCACTTCAGCTCACTAAAGTAAGTCTTAATGTTTTATATTCATGTATTAAACAGGAGTACAACTGTTATACAGGTATTTGAGCATGAAATATATCAAATTACTGCACTGTATGGTGATTTAACAAACATATATACTGTATTTTAAAATGGCAGTTTTATGCATGAATGTATGCATGTATGCATGTATGTATGCATGTATGTATGCATGTATGTATGCATGCATCCATGGATGTATAATGCACGCATGTATGTATGCATGTATGTATGCATGTATGTATGCATGTATGCATGCATGTATGGATAGAAAGAACAATCTAACAGATTTGCCCAGTAAAAATGTAACAATGGATGAAGGAAACATGGAGGAAAATCTTGACCTATATTTAATCCTGATTTCTCCAGATGTGTCCGACTTTTGTGTCTACAGGGAAACTGAGAGCAAGTCTAGATGAAGGCGGCACAGAACTTGCAGAGAGGGAGAGAACTTGCTGAAGTTAGCACAGTGCTACAGGAAATACTCCAATCTGCTTTTAATCACAGCGCACACACGCACACACACACACACACACATACACACACCCGCCTTCAGCCGCAGAGGAGGACAGCTGCGCAGCCCACTTCTCCCACCACTCCCCTCTGATAAGAGCTTACACAAGTCTGAGGCTTAATGTGGAAGAAAAYGTGAGAATAAACTCATATAAGGACTGTAAATACAACAGCTCTGACTGTAAAGGCTTTATTTCACTGACAATCAGCTGTTTGTAGCAAACGTACTGCCGTGTCAGTTCTGGGCTTTTTTCCTCTATTTTACCAGTTGGCCTTTGATTTGATTTGATTATATATGGCTACTATCAGCACATCAATACAACCTTCTATTCCCTCTGAGCTGTAAGCAGTTTTCTTTTTCTGTACCACTGCCCAACGGCCCCATACAAACTCAAATACAAGCTCCTGATTTGTCCCCAAAACAAATAAAAATTCTTTCGGCTAAGAAAAATGCACAAAGCTAATGCTTCTAATTGGAGCCTTTGTGCTGTGTAATAATACCCAGCACAACATCTTATTATGTGGTTATAAACAGGGAAGTAGAGGAAACGGTACGGACGCATATTTACTGGAAAAGCCCTTAATACGCTGTTTTAGTCATAGGAGAAATTCAGCTGTAATACAGAAAGCAGCAGCTTTAGTGGCAGCTGGAAAAGTCAGGAAATCACACGCTTTGGACAATCTGTACAGGGAAGCTGTTTTTTTTAGACCATGCTATTAAAATGTGTTGTCTACGCAGGCTCAGATGGTAAAACAATAACACAGCTAAATGAAAACCTGCACAGATTACAGCACAAACTGTTCAGAATGAAAGGCTGAGCTTTTCTAGAAGGAATGCATATCATTCGCTAGCTTGCATGCCAGAGCTTTAAACAAATCTGTTCGCACTCAGAAACTGTGAGGGGACGACTTCCAGCTACTTCAACACCTCAATTTAATTCAGTCTCTGTAAAGTCCTTAAACAGTTGATTAAATCTTTAGTTGACACTTAGCTCCTACCAGAACAGACTGTAGCTATATAAAATGACTGAGTTGTGTCATTTTTGTGTTTATAAGTTGCAGTGGCCATCTTGAACTGAGTTGACTCTCAACATGAGTCAGCTGTAGAGGCACAACCCATAAAAATTTTTTAAACTTTTTGTGGTTCATGACATTAGTGCTGTACCAAACGATTATTTTCTAATCGATTAATCTAACTATTATTTTTTCGATTAATCTATTATTCTAATAACAAATCTATAAGTTATTCTGATGTGAGTTCACTGGATATTTAAAATGTTTTCATCAAATTAACAAGAACAGTTCTTTAATATTGTAATATTTTCTGTAATAGTTTTTTCATGAACACAAAATATGCACTCTAGAGTCAATTCTTTAACAAAAAAACTTAAAAGATTTAACATCAACATAAAATCTCAACCAAAGCATTTAAAATTAAAGTAAAAGACATAGTGCAAGATGTTAACAATCTAACAAATGAACTAAATCATGCAAAATTCAAGTCACACAGGAAAAACTATAATAAACATTTATTTATTATCTTTTTATTTAACATATTTCTCAATATATAAAAATTAACAAATATCAAGACAACACCCAACTCTTTGTATTGTAACATCAGTTGTGTAACTTTTTTCTTTAAGGTGAAAACTGTTGAAAACAACAAGACTGTTTTGTCTTATTACACAAATTAATCTCCAGCTCCATGTGTTTCTATTGATGTCATTTCCCCACTAGAAAAATGYGTGATGGAGGTCCATGGAAGGCAAATATGTTTAAATCAAATAAACAAAAGAGGATGGAGTTAAAATTAATAAAAGGCATTTAAGCTACGTTTTGAACATCCAAAACACGTCCAACACTTGTTGCTGCTTGTGCTCTTTAGGTCAGACGTGTGTCGAGAAGCTCCTCTGTTGTTTGAGACACTGGGGAAACCATCTGATGGGGGAACCGTCTGATGGGGGAACCGTACCTGGTGGTACTTTATTTACTTTGAGCAAGCGAACGTCGTGTTCACAAGGTTAATCCACCAGATAATTCAGAGGCGGTCTGTTTGGTAAATTTTACTCCAGGAGCTGCGAGGCTTGTTTTCAAGCTTCAGACTGAACTGAAGCAGCGGCTGCTGACGTCATTACGCTCTTGTGCGATGCTGCGTTCAGGACAAGCATGGAAAACTCACCACTCTTATGCCAATATGGTCGCAATGATGCTTTTAGGTACTGAAATGGAATTACATGAACATTCACCTGGTGGTTATGTAATACAGCGAATCGATAATAAAAAATCTGCGTCGACAAATTTACATAATCGACGTCATCGATTATTTCAACTAATCGGTACAGCCCTACTTGACATATTAATAAAACCAAACATATGATGGTAGCGAGTGACAAACAAACATATTATACTGCTGGGGCAGTATAGCGCAGGGAAAGTAAAATAAAAAGTCTTCATGGATCCTCCCTGCTTCTGTCTGGTCAGACTCACCCCCAACCATCTGGCTCCCTTATTGGCTGCCTGCTGAATCTGAACCCTCTTCAGGGTCACGTTGTAGATGGCTCCTTCCTCGACTTCCTCCCCCCAGTCCTGCACCGAGCTCTGCGAGGCGAGAGAAAACAGTCGTCAAAACTTCTGCAGGAAGGGAGACTGAAGGACAGGAAGCAGCTTCCTGTGAGAAGATGAGTTACTGCAGAACAAACCTCCACAAGTGTCATTTGAACACATTCAGTGCATTATTAGAGCAAGAAAAGAGACAAAGCACGTTAAAAAGAAACACATGGTCTTATTCAGGCAGGAGTGGAGTACAATAAAACATCAAGAGTGACCAAATCCCCAACCCCCACCATTACAGCAGCCTGCCAGGCCTCCCTCCCTCCCTCCCACCTGCTTTACTCCCTCTTTTACTCCGTTTCTTTCACTCTGCCTCCTCGGAAGCTGATGTCAGATTTGGACTACTTTCCCAGAGCTCAGACACACAGCAGATAAGAGGCAAAAGCAGATAAATTCCCCTTAAACAAACGCCACACTTTTCCTTTCTGTGTTCGCCTGTTTGAGCCGAAGGAGCTTGATTTCGAATCTGTTCCACAACAAGAAAGCATCAGGACTGAATTGATTTGTTCTCATCTTGCAGCCAAGGACTCACATAGTCTGTGTCTGTCTCTGGTTGTAAATCACTTCCAGGCTGCAGAGTGCATAAACAAACAGAGGAGAGTTAGAGTGTGTGTGTGTGTGTGTGTGTGTGTGTGTGCAGGCTGAAGCCGAGATCTGCTGAGACATCAGATTATGGAGGCAGAACCAGAGAGGCAGGCGGGCGGCAAAAAGGAGAAGAAGCCACCAGATATATAAACACCGGACACGCAGACGCTTGGCCAGGATCGCTGTCGCTCGCTCCCACTCTCATTTATACAACTCCGTAGCAAAGTCCACTTCTAGTCGTCAAACAGAGGGCCCGCCAGAGGAGGGATCAAGGGTCAACGTCGCCATTAACAAGCTCAATAGCTGGCTGTCAAGGCCAGAGGAACTCAGCCACGACTGGGTCCAGTTTAGGGTCGAAGAGAAACTTCAGATGCAGAAAAGACTGACAGGAAGAAAGTGAAAAAGCATTTCAGAGCAACGTGTGTTTCTGCACATGGAAAGCTGCATTTCTTTGCATCTTTTTTTTTAGTACATCTGTCTCTGCTGCTGGCTGTCCAGACACAGATAAAAACATCAGAGCATGAATAAAACAACAGCAGGACGACGTGCTGCTGCACACTGCCTGTCCTCTGTGAGCCACGGAGCTCTGCAACAAGTTTCTACGACAAGGACGCATGAGTTTGCATGAAAGTAAAAAAAATGAAATAAAAAAAACTTCTGAGAAGTTCAGAGGAAAAAAAAGAGGAGATGGAGCACGAGTGATCAACCAGGAGAGCAGCTGTTTACTTTACAAATCTTTTTCCAGAGAAAATGTCCAAAAAGTGGACATGTAGGAGGACTCAAATACTTTGCAGTTTTATCAAACAATAATACCACCCCCCCTCCACATACACACACACCATACTC